CCCCCGGGGAGAAAAGTTACCTTGACAACCGCAGTGTTCCCAAGCGTTGCTATATAGCCCCTGGGGAGAAAAGTTACCTTGAGGTGAGAGCCACTGCTTCCCAGGGTTGTTTGCTAGCCCCAAAATAAAAATTTCATATAATTTTCCATTTCATTGTAGTTTACTGAAAATGACAGATTAGCTGCAAATTTAAATGATTGCACTTGGCTTTGTTTCCTGTTAAATTTTTAAAAGTGATCCTGATCCATTCCCCAAACAAAACAGACAGAAAGAAGTACAGGGTGGAAGAAGGTAACTTAGTGAGCAAAGGCATCTGCTGCCAAGCCTAACAGCCTGAGTTCTAGCCCTGGGACTCACATGGTGGAAGGAGAGAACCGACTCCCAAATTTTCCTCTGACATACACTGCCAAGCACGTGAGACCATATACACACATATGCACAATTAATTTCTAAAATGTTATTATTCAAGAGCAGGTGACAGAACTCCTATAGTTACTCGAATATGGAATTTTCCTAGGTAGTAGTCTCAGCCTGAAGCACACATGTATGGCTTGGCGGAGCTCTCTGATGAGTGTGGCTGAAGGAGCAGTCCTCCATCCCTCCACCTGAGGGACAGATTTCCTTGAAAGTGAAGGAGATCTTTGAGAATCCTAATTATCGCTGGGCACAGTGGCTACTCTGGTGTCCCATGATCTGCCACTCAAAATGGATGTTCCTGCTGGGCATGATGGTGCAAACCTTTAATGCCTGCACTCAGGAGGCAGGAGCAGGTAGGTCTCTGAGTTCAAGGCCAGCCTGGTCTATCTAGCAATTCCAGTTCAAGAGTCCATGAGACCCTCTTTTTTTTTAAAAAAAAAAAAAAAAACAGCAACAAACCTCATCACAGAGCCAGCCAGAAGATGACTTTTTTTATGTCCACCAGTTGTCTCTTTTGGACAAGTGGTTAGTCAGCTGAGACATGCCCAAATATATCACCTCTTCTCTGACACCTTGAGTAACTTTTTGAGAGTGTAACAGAAGAGTTCAAGCCTGGGCCTGAACTGAGATTCAGGAGCCAAGGTTCTGGTCGACGCAAGCACTGATGCCCTTGTGTCCTCTGTCAGGTGCTCGAGAAACTGCAGATACTCACTGGCTACTTACGAGAAGAACATCTGTATTGCATTTGGTGTGGGACAGCCTACGAAGGTGAGAAGATGATTTATGCTTTAAAATACTGCCCGTGAATACTTGCTTATTTTTAATAAAACCCACTTGTCTTATTTATTCCATTCAAATTGCAGTGTGGGACCAGTGTCTAAAGAAATACTGACTATAGAAATAATTGAGTTTTTATTAGAATTTAACACTTAATTTTTCAGTAACTAAATGTGCAAGAGGGAATTTTCACCATTTTATTACTCAAATAACTTCAAGTCTAAAGAATAATGTACAAAGGCTAGGCATGGTGGCACACACCTTTAATCCCAGCCCTCAGGAAGCAGAGGCAGGTGGATCTCTAGGTTCAAGGCCAGCCTGTCCTACAGAGCAAGTTCAGAATGGCCAGATCTACACAGAGAAACCTTGTCTTGAAAAAAAACAAAAGAAGAGAGAGAAGAAGAAAGAAAGATGGGTTGGTTTTATCTTTATTTGTGTGTTCAAACTTTATATGTGAATGCCATGACAGCAGCGCATAGCGCATAGCAAGTTCTAGCCCAGCCACAGCCAGGGCTACATAATGAGACCCTGTCTCAACCACCTACCCTCATCAAAAAAAAAAAAGAACCAAAAAAAGCCTGAAAATAATGATTTTTTTCCATGCTTTATTTTTTGGAGACTCATTCTTTGATAGATACTTGCATTAAAATTTTATAACTAATTTCTATTTAGGTATACTATTGTCCTAGCTCATTAAAATCAAGTCTGTTGAAATCCACTCTTTCTTTCATTGTAAAGAAGAAATTAGTTTAACCTTTGCCAAATATTTTTCTTTTTTATTTATTTTCCTCTCACATATTACATCCTGACCACAGTTTCGCCTCCCTCCTCCCAGTTCTTCCCCACAACTTTCCTCTCCCCAGATCCATTCCTACTTCCTTTCCCTTCAGAACAGCCTTGCCAGATATCGTAACTGAGCCATTTGTCTCATGTACTATCCATTTTACCTTGACTAACTTGTAATTAAGAACTTCGTATCTGAGAATGAGGATTTTTGTTACTATTTTAATCTCTTAAATTTTCATATTGTGTGTATGGGTGCTGTGCCCACATGTATATCTATGCACCATAGATTTTCAGATAGAACATTCAGTGTTCATGGAAGCCAGAAGAAGGCCTTGGATCCCCTGGCTTCGAGTTAGACTGTCGTTAGCCACATGTGGATGCGGAAAATGGAACTCAGATCCTCTGGAAGAGCCGCCAGTGCTCCTGACCATCCAGCCATCTCCCTAGCCTACCTGCCCCTTATTTTTTTTTTTTAAATATTTATTTATTATGTATACAGTGTTCTGTCTGTGTGTATGTCTGCTGGCCAGAAGAGGGCACCAGACCTCATTACAGATGGTTGTGAGCCACCATGTGGTTGCTGGGAATTGAACTCAGGACCTTTGGAAGGGCAGGCAATGCTCTTAACCGCTGAGCCATCTCTCCAGCCCCCCTGTCCCTTATTTTTTTATTATTGTTTGAATATTTCCCTTTTGCTTTGTAGAATAAATAACAAACATGACTGGCCAAAAATACTGCATACAATTTTCTAAAATTATTCTAAACTTGTATGTATTTACCTTTTATTTCTCCTACATAAATTACAGATAAAGAAGACCTATCTTCAAATTGCCCAGGACCAACCTCTGCAGATCATGACTGAGATTGTTCCCAATAAAGTAAAAACTATTTATGCCGGTGTGAAAAGAAGGCCTTTATGTAATGCTTGATTCTTTCAGAGGTATGCTCTACTTTGGGTAAAATTGCTCACTAGCTTCAGAAAAAGTTACTGTTACTTCATAATACAAGTATCATAGATCTGGACAATTACGATTTATGCTAGTATTTTGATGCTTGTGAGACATCCCAATAGGTAACATACTTAGTCACCTCTTTACTTGGGATCAGTTGAGAAATAAGGCATCATGGGAATCAGGAAGACAATTGTCTGCCTTAGAACTTGAGGTATACTGTAATGGTAGAAGGCCTGCCACGCCTGGGCACGGCCCTGAGCTTAGTCACAGCACCACAAGTCAGGTTTCGCGGCATGAAGCTGAGATACAGAACACTGCCACTTTCTCTAACCAGTTTCCCCACCACACCTCCCATCTGCTCCTCAGAGAGGGTAAGGCCTCCCCTGGAAAGTCAACCAAGTCTGTCCTATCTCCTCATTGAGGCAGGACCAAGGCCTAACCCCTCCCCCATGCCTACACTGAGCGAGGTAGAATCTTCCATAGAGAACAGGCTCCACAAAGTCAGTTCATGCATCAGAGTTAGATCCTAGTCACACTGCCAGTGGCTTCACACACTGCCAAGCCACACCATTGACATTTACATTCAGGGGTCTAGTTTGGTCCCATGCAGGTCCCACAGTGGTCAGTCCAGAGTCAGTGAGCTCCCACTAGCTCTGGTCAGCTGATTCTGTGGGTTTCCCATCCTGGTCATGACCCCTTTGTTCATATCGCTCTTCCCTCTGGAAGCTTGGCCCAGTGGTTATATATGGATCTCTGCACCTGCTTCCATCCGTTTCTGGATTAGGATTCTGGCTTCTCTGGGGTTGTAGACTGTAGGCTGGTTATCCTTTGCTTCATGTTTGATATTCACTTATGAGTGAATACTGTATTTGTCTTTCTGACAAATGCCTCATGCAGGATGGTTACCTCATGCAGGATGGGTTTTTTTCTAGTTCTGACCATTTGTTTGCAAATTTCAAGATATCATTGTTTTTTTTAGCACTGAATAGTACTCTATTGTATAAATGTTCCACATTTTCCTTACACATTCTTCCCTCCTAGTTCTTATTTGGAGAAACCTCACATCTGTCCTCTGCTGGTGGAGAAAGGGCCTACCTTGTGTTCTAGGACCAGTGTCTTGAAGAAATAGTTTTATCCTGTTTGTTTTTTCAGAATCAATATTTGTTAGCTCTCGAGAGCAGGAGCACACCACGGGCTGAGCCGGACATGCTCAGTTCTTCACCTCAGTAGCCCCGAGAGATAAAACACTTCTCTGCAGAAAGGAAGGAACTGAGGGGTCAGAGGCGTCCATACTCCCGATCATGTCTGGGGTGAGATGTAAAAGTCATGGGACTTTTTCCAAAGTCTATACGTCCAGGGCTCTCCTCTAATGGGTTTATTTCGTCTGATCTAGGGCAATTCCTGAATATCCACTTTTCTTTTTAAATTGCAAGAGTATACAACAGCCTGCCCTTGCTTTCAAAAATACCACAGCAGCACAAGGGAAACCATTGCAGAGGAGAGACTGAGTGAACACAAACTGGGGAGCACAGTGCAGCCCTCAACAGGGGAGAGCAGGCTTTGCCGAGGAGACCATGGGACACTACATTAGCAGTCAATTTGGCTTCTGAAAGATGAACACAACTTTGTACACACAAAGCTGCCAGGAGGCAGCTGCTCTATTATTCAGCAATTCTAAGCATAGAAAATGCGAACCACACAAGTCTGGTTATCTGCTTTGGGTAATCTTATAATTTTCAAAAAGAATAAGCAGCCCAGATGTCTATTGAACAAATACATAAAATGTTATTCATTCATACAACAGGACTCTGTTTGGCCGCAGAAAGGAATGCCTTACTGAGACATGCTACAATGTGGCTGAAACTTGGCCACAATACTATATGAAAAATACTCCCTGTATGGTCTGTTTGTTTATATGCATAGAATGGACAGATCTATAGCCAGGAGGCAGATTGATGGTTTTCAAGAGTTAGGTGAAGATAATGAAACTGTTAATGGATGTGAATTTCCTTTGAGGTGACAAAAAATTGTTTGGAAATTGAGTATAGTGTTGATGCAAGTCTGAATAAACACGATTAAGTTGTAAGTGTTGGAGAAATGAATTGTATACAATGTGGATTATAGCGCCCAACATTTTTACTATGTTTATTAAGTTAGGTGATGCGAGTGTGGGTATGGATGTGGGCTTATGTACCAGGCGACGTGAGGAGGTCAAGGACTACTTTTGTAAGTCAGTTCTTTTCTACTGGGCAGGTGCTGGGGATCGAACTCAGGTCATCAGGCTTGGTGGCAGGTGTTTTTACCTGCTCAGTCATCTCACTGTCCCGAGAACGTGCTGTTTAAGTTGAGGGTGATTTCAGGTACAAACAGTTGGAAAGACTCTGAGGGCCACAGCATGCTCTGTTCAGGTGTTGAGCCTTAATCCGCTAACACCAAGCATGACGGCAGCCTCCGGGGTGCATAGTTACTGAATCTCATTTTGAGTTTCTGGCCTCCAGTACTGCAATAAGTGTATATAATGTGGATGACCGAGTCTGTCCTAACATGTTGCAGCTATAGGAAATTAAAATATACCGCAACTAAATTAACATCAGCAGGGCTCTACATATTCCAGAAGCATTTGCTTGCCTCCCAGTACTATTACAGTTTTCAGTTAGAACTGAAGACAATACTAGTGTAACTTCACCCATCTAACCGTGGGGGCGCCATGAGCCACTTCTGAGTGGAGGACATGCTATAGACATGACTAGTTCCCTCAGCACATGCTGAGAGAAAAGAAAACCCAGGGAGTATGCTGTAGAGTCAAAGGACATGTCAGCCAAATGTAATCCTGGATCCTCCTGATTTTAAGCAACTGTACAAAGACAGTCTTCAGGTTGTACAATTGATTTAGAATAATTATGTGATAATTACATTTATTAGTTTGTTTGAGTAGAAGGGATATGTGGTTTTGTTAATATTACAAAGAACTTGTTTGTTACAATCAACCTTTAAATAATTAGAACTGGAACACTGTAATGCCTGAGAGTCACTGTAGAATTTGTCAGCCAAAGAAACAAAAAACAGAATGGATAGGTGTAACAACAGAGGTAAAATATTCTTTGCTAAAACTGCTTAATGTTACACACAATTTCCTCATTCCTGTCTATGTTTGAGTTTTAAAAATTATGAGAATTAATATTGAATAAAAATATTTTGTGTTTTAATAAAATGTTAACATGCCCTAAGAGCCCCATGCTTTGGTGAACACTCAAGTGGGGAATGGATGATGTAAGTCTGTCTAGTGAGTCTGCAGATGATGAGGTTGGAAGCAGGGATTCAGGTTTCTCATGTCACATGTAGATATGTACACAAGTATCCTTAACAGGTATGCAGCCTGGATGGTTGCACTAGACCATTCTCAGAAGTCTTCCACACTTAGCCATTTAAAAAGCACCTTACATTTCATTTCAAACTGGGTCCCACAAATTATGCATCTAGCCATACATATACATCTATATTGTGCGTGTGTATGTATGTGTATGTGTGTGTATACTATGAATATATTTGGTATAATTTTATGTTAAGTTCACATGTCTTTATGTATGTGTGTTTGGTATGTAGCTATATTTAGTAGAAAATGGTATGGTTAGTCTGTGGTAAAAATTCTAGTAATGCAACTAGATGAAGATTTGTTTTTAAAAAGCTGGACCTGGAATTAGCAAGTGAAGTTCTATTTTGCCCTACTCTTGCTATAATTAAGAATATACTTTTTATTTCCTGGCTTTTGTAGACTGAAAAAATATATCTTCAGAAGTAAATAAAAGATGCTAAGAGATGGGGCTGAAGAGATGGCTCAGTGGTTAAGAGCACTGACTGCTCTTCCAGAGGTCCTGAGTTCAATTCCCAGCAACCACATGGTGGCTCACAACCATCTGTAATGGGATCTGGTGCCCTCTTCTGGAATGCGGGCATACATGGAGGCAGAATGTTGTATACATAATAAATAAATCTTTAAAAAAAAAGATGCTAAGAGATAATATACTTATTCCATAGTGTGAAAATACCAATAATGGAAGGGGAAAATGCTACTCTCACTGGCCAACTTATTTGGTATTCCTCTTAAATGCAGCTTCGTTCATTAAAGTCAGATAATATTAGTTTGTTTTTGAAGACATTTCATTCCACCTAGAAAAAATTGAAAAGTATATCTCTGTCTGTATTTGCCAAGGGTTAACATCATGGGTCCTTTCTTTTTCTCCTTTCTCTGTAACTCCAGCTTCAGGGGTCCAGTGCCTTCATTTGGCCTTTACTGTTATTGCACTCACAAAGACATGGACAGACAGAAATAAACATTTCTTAAAAAGAATACTTCCAGCTGAGAGGCAGAGGCAGGCGGGTCTCTGTGAGTTTGAGGCCAGCCTAGTCTACAAAGTGAGTTCCAGGATAGCCAGGGCTATCTCAAAAAACAAAACAAACAAAAAATAGTTACTGCAGTCTCTCTCTCTCTCTCTCTCTTTCTCTCTCTCTCTCTGCCTCTTTCTCTCTCTCCCTTTCTGTTTTTGTGTGTGTGTTAAATTGTCTTTTCAAAGAAAACAAATTATCTAAGAATAATCACATTCAGGATTTGCCTAATAATTTCCTCACAATTGTAACTGGGTTATGAATTTGGGACAAAACTAATTCTGATATGACATTGGGAACCGCACATCATAAGGTGATGATAGACTGGATCGCATTGTTGTGGTTATTGTGGTCTCTGCTGGAGAGGTGCATGGCCACCTGTTTAAACTCCTGCCAACATTCTCTTCACAGCCTTTCTCACATCCAGTGATGAACCTTGCCTTGCTGCACTTGGAGGCGGCAAACAAACCCCATGCTTTTATGACTACTTAAAGAAAAGGCTACACACCTCCTAGAAGTGCTTCTCTTATTGCTGCTCCTCCACTGGCAGCCCACATTTGGATCGCTGTAAAAACTGTAAAATGACGTCAGTTTTGTAATGGTGATGCGCTGTCGGAAGTGTAGACAGACCCTCAAGGTCTCCAGGGGTGCAGTCCATGTTACCTTCCAGCATTTCCTGCCGCCATTGGGGCCAACGTCTTCTCTGCCCAGTGTTCCCTGTGTGCATTCTTTGCAGTTTGCTCTGCCCCTCACTCACCCAGCCCAGCTGTTCTCCCTACTCTTCCAAATCTTTCATGTCCTTGGAAGTCTCTTTAGTGTAATTTCCAAGCCCTCTGTTCTATAGGAAGTGATCTTGCCTGTCTAGTGAACAGCTTCCTGTTCCTAGCCCTGCCAATAGCACAGCCATCTTTCTTCGAGGCTTTGTTATAATAGATACAGAAGGTATTTAAGATAAAAAGACTAATTGAGAATCTTCTTTCGGACCACATAATCCCCTCCTCTCCTCTAGCCAACCACTTGAAAAATCTAGTGTGGCTTCCTCCTTTATCTATCTTTTCCATCTCACCATATTTGTTGAGTGTCCTAAAAAAATTTCAAAATAATTTTATGTGTTCTGGAATGTTATGTGAACACTTTCTTCTGTACACATTTTCAAACTTGTTTACTTACAGTTATGCTGTTAATATACTGTTACTACATTCGGCCTCACTTTATTCGTTTTCCGATATGTGAACAAAATTTTAAATCCATTCTCTTTTCCAGTGCATTATGGGTACCTCTTGTTGCCATGGCTTCTATAAACAATATGTTAGCTACTTTTCTTGTCACTAAAAATCCAACAGTTGCAACTTGAAGCAGAAGAGATTTATTTTGACTCAACATCAGATCATACCATTCTTCATGGCAGGAAAGATTTGGCAAAAGCCTCTGTTCCTGGTGCTGGTGTGTGTGTGTGTGTGTGGGGGGGTGTTCAAGTCCTTGTTGGCTCATGGCCATCCCATAATCCAAAATGCTTTCAGGCCTACCTCAGGAGTTCCCAGACTCTTAATAGTCAACACCATTCAAACGTCCAAAGTGCTTTGAGAAGCAAAGGAGAACTTTCAATTCTTAGTCCCTATAAGACAATTATTACAGTGTACAAACAAGCAAAAGAAAATCCCCATTCTAAAAAGGAAGTCTTGGATAACAGCAAGAAAAGACTGGTCCAATGCAAAAGTAAATCCACGCAGGGCCAACAAATGCTGCCTCTCAGTGTTCAGTATCTGGAATATACACAGTGGCATTATCTGAGCTTCACTGGGCTGGCTCCCATCAGTGACCACTCCTTCAGCAGACATTCTACGTTCTTGTCCTCTCCAACGTCCCAGGGTCTGTCTTAAAACTTAGGTTTCACCTTCATAGCTTCAAAGCCTCTCAGAGCCTTTCTTCAAGGAATCTGACCACCATATTGCACACAGCTCTCACAGGCTTCTTCAGGAACCATTGGACAAGCATCTCTGACCCCCAAGACCCTCAAGACCCTTGTGTTCTGCTTTCCTGCAAAACCAGCATGAATGGTGACAAGTCCTGCCGCCATCTTGAAATGTAAACGAGCCACTCAGGCTGTGGCTGTAGCATTCTCTGAGGCCCTGCACACTAAAACAGAAAGACCACTCCTCTGGGTATCCCTGCTTGAACTTCTGACATGCAAGGCCTTCCGGGGGCTTTTCATTTTCACACTATAGCCTTCCATGGGTGTAGTCTTGTTCCTATAATGCCAGCAGTGACCAGCAGTGTGAAGTGCATGGTTCCTCTTTAATAGCACTAGTCTCTAATTATTGCCACTCTGCACCTACCTTGTATTTTAAGTTACTCGTTTTTCAAATCTTCATGCTCTTTCACATCTACTAGTCCTCTTTCTTTCCTCATTTACGCTGTAACCCTGGCAAAAAGTAGGAAAGAGCCCCCATGCCCTAGTCTGAATGTTTTGGAATTTCTTCCAGGGTCCAGTGAGTTCCTGTCTCTTCCCCTTTATATCCCTCTATCCGCTCAGTTATATCACTCCTGTCTCCACCTCCCCAGTGCTGGGATTAATGGTATGAGCCACCACTGCCTGGCCTGTATGGCTGACTAGTGTGGCTGCTTTGCACTTTGATCTTCAGGCAAGCTTTCTTTATTAAAACACAAATAAGACTTCTTCAGCCTGCAGCTCCAAACTTTTCCACATTCCTCCCACAAACCAGCTCTGAAAGCCCAGGAACCATGTGGCAGATTTATTGCCACAAAACCCTCCTTCTGGTTCCATTTCATGGCTTTCTCATCACAGTGACTACCTGAGAGAGGCATTTTAAGGACAAGGAGATTTATTTGGACTCCCAAAGTCAGAAGCTGCAGTTCACATGATGAGGCATGTGCAGCAGAGGGCACAGTTCATGTTGGCATGGGTGTCCGAGGAGGGTGGAGGTGAGGATGATCGAAATGCAATACATGGATGGAATTGTCGAAGACTAACTTTTTAAAAACATTCTTGAAATAATAAAAACTTTTGTGCAAGAAGTTTTTCTTGTCTTAAGTTTCCTAAAACTTAATTACAGTATCTACAAATGTTCCAGCTCAGACTAAGTAGGTAGATCAAGGAAGGCCACATGTCCAAGGTGGAACAATTTTTTAGAAGACCCTAATGTGTGTGTCTTTTCTTTTGCTCCGAGTTGTTCTTCCATTCAGCCAAGATCCTCAAAATTTCAGATGTACTAGGTCGTTCCTTGGGTTCCTTCAAGAGCAATCTCCTAAGAAGGCTTTTCTGTAATTACAAATAAGAGTCAGTACTAAGAAAGAAGACAGTGGAGAAAATAAAACCAATGACTTTCAAGTGCTTACTTCTTTGTTGTCAAATGTATCATCGGGGAAGATGCCTTCTCTTAATTTTTGGAAAAACTGAAATACAACAAATAGATGTATTTACTAAGAAACCGTTTATATGGGAAGAAAAACTAAATACACTAATAACTGGAGATATATTAAATCTAGAATAGTTCTTAAATTTAGGACTCTTTAGTCAAGAAGCAAGCAGAACTCCCCTCCCTGAGCCTACCCCGATCTGATAACCATCCTTAAGATCCATGCTTAGAAGGGCTAAGTGCAGGAGGCCCATCATTTCCCTTCTGTTCTGGATGCTAGGCAGTGCATCGTTTCATCGTCCCTACTTTAGGGAAGATAAGGTTGTTTTGACTCCAGGCAAACCCCTCTCTGAGCTTGCAACTAGGGTATCTGGAGTCTGCTGTCTCTAATGCTGCCCCACCACCTACCCACCGACACCAAAAGCCCAAACGCTTTCCTCAGTGTAGCCAAACCTGTCTTCCCAGCCCCACCAATCATTGGCTTCAGATAAAATCACCTTGCCTGCTATTCCCAACACACACTGCAGATTTGTATCTCCATGCTGGGGTTACATGCTTTCTATTTCAGACTATTAGAATGAACTAACCCAGGATAATTGTCTTCTGACCTCCATAGACATGTCATAGCATGTGGACATATGCACACATTTGTGTGTGTGTGTGTGTGTGTGTGTGTGTGTGTGCACATATGCCCTTAAATAAATAATCTGAAAAAAAAATTTGATCTTTCAGTACCCAAGTTACATGTTTCCTAAACCTGAATCCAGATTTCTGGAGAGATCTTTTAGCTCCTTCTGGAGACTTTCTGTCTTCTAAAACACTTAATCATTTTTGGCTGTTACCTTTCCTCTTAGAAAATTAATCCCTTGAGAAACTGACTGATTTTTATATTCATGTAGCACTTAGAGCAGAAACTGCCCTCTAATCGGTGAAATTTGTTGGCACACACAAATACAGATCTTATGGGATATACACACATTTTATAGAAGGCCATTTTTTTTATTTATAGCAAAATGGTTGTCCACACTTGAAAGAGGAAGTTTATGTTTCACTTACAGAGTAATGTGGTCAAACACACCCTCACCGAGTGGGGGCGATAGCGTTAGTGCCTGAAGGGTGACAACCAGTGCTTTAATCTGCTTAGTTCTCCCTTGGGATATTTACCTGTACTTTTTCTGAAACAGTGATGCATATGTGCAGAAGTTCCGCTAGAATAAGGCCTAAAGCAAAGATGTTCACTTCTTTTCCATATTTCTGTGAAAATATCTGGAAGCCAAAATACATTTGTCTTTGTTACTCACTTAATAAAGTTTCTCTGCCTTCTGATGAAAAAATAGCTATAAATTATATATTACATCAAAATGTCTGTTTATTCTGTATCTCATGGAGTTGACCACTAAGATTAACCATGACAAAGAAATAGAAGGAACACAATAAAGGTGATATAAAACAAATCTATAGCCAATTTTATACTAAATGATAAAACTAGGAGCATTTCCACCAAAATTAAGAGTAAGACAATGGGATGTTCTTTTCACTTTCTCTACCCACATTCAATATAGTTCTTCAACTCTTAGCTAGACAAGAGAAAGATATAAAAGAATTCAAATAGAAAAAGAAACCAAATCCCCACTTTTAGACAACACTGTCTTGTACACAAGAGAGTCTAAAGATTCTACCAAAAGCATAACTGAACACAAAGTCAACATTCAAAAATCAGTAGTTTTGGGGCTGGACAGATCGCTCAGCTTTTTCAAGTACTCTCTTTGTCAGCAAAGAACCTGAATTCAATTCCCAACACCGATATAGTGACCTGTGACTTCAGTTTGAGGGGATCTGACACCCTCTTCGGGGCTCAATAGATACCAGGCATGCACACGGTACACATATACAAATATAAAGGAAAACTCATGCACATGAAATAAATCTTTTTTAAAAAATCAGTAGGTTTTCTATATTCTAATAATGAACCACTAAGATAATTAATCTTATTGATGATAACTTCAAAATATTACTTACTGGATGTAGTGGTAGACACCTTTGATCCCAGCACTTGAAAAGCAAAGGCAGGAGGATCTCTAAGTTTGAGGTCAGCCTGCTCTATATAGTGAGTTTCAGGATAACCAGGGCTACACAGAGACACCCAGACCTCCTGTGCTTGTTAATCAGCAAAATTAACATGGAAGATTTGCAGACGTGATCTACAAATTCACAGTAATCCCCATTAAATTCCAATAATAATAGGAAAAAAATCTTGAAAGTCACATAGAAGAATAAAAAAATCCTAGACAGTTAAAAAAAAAATCCTAAGCAAAAAGAACATCATTGGAGATATCGCTAAATCTGATTTTAAGTTATACTACAGACACATAGTAACAAAAAACTTGGGGGGTGGACACAGAAGAAACATGTGGACTAATGGAGTAGAATAAATAAAGGACCCGAAATGAAACTCACATCGCTATCTTATTTTGACAAAGATCTCTCTCTCTCTCTCTCTCTCTCTCTCTCTCTCTCTCTCTCTCTGTCTCTCTATCTTTCTCCCTCTCTCCTTCTCTGTCTCTCCCTCTCTCCATGTATGTGTGTGAGCACACACCTGGGTCTATGTACACAAAAATCAGTTCAGAGTGGATTAAAGACCTAAAACTGTGAAAGTGTCAGAGATAATACGGAGAAACATCATATGATATGCAAGCATAGACAAGGACTTTTTGGAAAAGGCTCGAACAGCCCAGAAAATAATATCAAGATTTGACAAATGGAATTGCATGAAATTATAAAGCTTCTGCACAGCATAAGAAACAATCACCAGAGAAGAAACAATCCAAAGAAAAGCAAAATCTTGGCTAGCTAAGCACACAATAAATTTCTAATCTCCAAAACATATAAAGAGTCCCAAAAAACTAAATACAAAGTGAACTCCAACATCCCAGTCAATAAATGGGTACTAATAAAAGATATCAGACTGTTCTGAAAAGCTAAGAATAAATGGCTAAGAAACATGGGAATATTCAAGATCTTTGTCAGCATTTGTTGTTGTTTTCTTTATAACAGCCATTCCATTCTGGATGGGGCAAGATGAAATCTTACTCAGGTGTAACTTTCCTGGGTAAGGATTCTGAGTCGACACACAACGGAGACACTTGATTATCCATGTGCCATAGCTGTATTCACAATAGTCAAGTTATGGGATCAGCCCAAGTGGCCATCAGAAGATGTAAGGATAAAGAAAACGTGGTGTGTGTGTGTCTGTGTCTGTGTCTGTGTCTGTGTGTAGTGGTATTTATTTTGTGTTTTAACAAAATTTGCCTGAAGATTGGAGTGCAGAGCTAAACCACTAGAGGCCAGGGAGTAGTGGCGATGCCTTTAATCCCAGGACGCCAGAGACAGAAGCAGAGGGATCTCTGTTGGTTCAAGACCACCCTGGGCTATACAACATTGAATCTGTCTAAATGAGAAAAAGAGATCACACAAAGGTGATCCCAGCACTTGGGATCCCATGCCTTTAATCCCAGTACTCAGGAGATGGAAGCCAGGAGCGATATGGCTGGACAGAGAGAGAATATAAGGCCGGAGGATGCAGAAGCTCAGTGCAGTCTGAGGTTTGGTGGAGACAGATGCAGTCTGAAGAAGTCTGAGAACAGGATCACCCCTTTTGTCTGGGCATTGGTAGAGGTAAAGGAACTCTCTAGTAGTTGGCACTTTGCTTCTCTGATCTTTCAGTTTTCACCCCCTAATATCTGACACACACACACACATATATATATATGCATGTATGTAGCATATATGTAACATATATAATATATGTATGTATGTATTATTGTGGAGAGCTACCAGAGAAGATACCTGATACCCTTACACAAACTCAGATTTCCATATGTTCATACACAAACATCTACACACATGTACACACACCTACATGAATTTGCACATATACCACATGCACACACACACGAAAATAAAGAAGTAAAATTTACACAGAAAATAAAAGGACTTTACCTGTTCTGGACTCATGTATAGAAGACTTCCTGTTTCCTTTGTTCGATTTCCATCAATATCCAGGTCTGTTACAAGGCCAAAGTCGCCAATCTTTATGTGTTTTTCATCTACTAAAAATATATTACCTGGCTATAGAAAAAAATTAATTAATATATGTGATTTGGACCAACTATTACCACAGGTCCCAACAACCTTTCATGCTGATTAGTATGATGTTTATCCTTCCACGGGCAGCCCAAACTAGGAAATTTAATACCTTGGGTCTTTAAAATGCCAACTGAAAAAGAAAAGACTTTGAAATGACAGCGAAGGTGGCTTGGTTCACACCTGCTTCCAAATATCAGAACAGCACAAGTTGAAGATTCACTGTGCAGGGTCCCAGGAGAAGAATCTAGGACTGAAGGGTGGACATGGGTAAAAATATTTTCTTTCTACACGGTAGTCTAAATGGGAGTTTGAACTCCCCACCCCAGAAGAGGGCTGGACATCCTTCCAAGGGAATGCTGCTGGTGTAATTTTGGGTTTGATGGGAATTAAAACCCCTTCCAATTTTGAGAGTCTCTGAATGGCTCAGTTCTCAGCAATGCTGCAGGATGTTTCATGCAGGATTTCTCCCCAGATTCTGACAAGAGTTTATAAGTATACCCGCTCCACCTTGTTAAGTGTGTATCCCCCCCACACCTTGTTAAGTATATACCCGCTCCACCTTGTTAAGTAGAAGCTGGGAATCATCACAAATACATTCTCTATGTGTTTCCCTTGGTTTTGTTTTGGTTGCTGCTCTTGTTTGGGTTGGGGGGCTACTGTTTGGTTGTTGTTTGATTTGGTTTATAGGGTCTCACATATCCCATCAGCCTCAAACTCAGTACATAGCCAAGCATTGCCTTGAACTTCTGATCCTTTCACCTCCACCTTCTGAGTCCTGGGATTAAGAGAATGAGCCACCGTGCCTGGTTTACACACAGCTAGGGATCAAATTCAGAGCTCCATAAATGCTAGGCAAGCATGCTAACAATTGAGCTGCATGTCTAGACACTCTAAGATGCAATACTAAACATATTTAAAATGTGTGTGTGTGTGTGTTTGCGTGTAGAAGACAACTTTGTTTTGTCACTTTTCTCTTTACACCTTCATGTAGGTTCCATAAATTGAACTTAGATCACTAGTCTTGTACAACAATCATCTTTACCCACTGAGCTATCTCACTGACCCAAACGTGTATATATGTGCATTGTGCATGCAAATGCACACATAACAAATAAACAGTGGCCACATATGTTACATAACTCTGTAGACAATACGGACTGAAAACAAGAGGATTGGTGGTGACAAAGTTAATATTTTTGCCATTTTTGCCAAAACTAGACATTCAATACAATGTTAGGCTACACACACGCACCTACAAGAGGGCCTAGCTAAGAAATGAGGGATGAGATGAGGAGCCCAGAGAAGTGCTTCTGAGAAGCCCTGTGCAGAAATTAGCAGTGAGATTCCAGTTCAATCAGTGGATTAGAACTTAAAGTCAGTAGGAAGAAGGATGTTTGTGTGCGGTGGACCTGGGAGACAATGTTCCCTGGCTAAGCTGAAGGCACAGCAACAGAGCTTTCTGTGCCCACAAATGAAACTGCTACCCTAATACAGCTGCAGCCTAACCCAGAAACAGAAGACTGAATTTGTGTAAGTATCGATGAGACAAGGAGAAATATCAGATTGCTTTTTATTAAAAAGAAAAAACAAGTCTGGTATTGTGGTGCATGCTTTTAATCCCAGCACAAAACAGCAGAGGCAGGAGAATCTCTGTGACTTGGAGGCCAGCCTGGTCTACAGAGTGAGTTTCAGCACAGTAAAGGGCAACAAGGAGAAACCCCTGTCTCAAAAAAAAAAAAACCACAAAAACTGAAAAAGGAAAATAAAATATTTTATATGCACTTTATTAGCAAGCACAGTCATCGAAACAATCCCAAACATCTACTTCATTTGGTGTTCAGAACTTAACCTACTGTACTGTTTGTTTCCTTGCTCCTTTCTTTGCCAACAGCATGCAACCCAACTGGTGTGGGAGAGAATGAAACTGCTCATTGAGCCTACTGCTGGTGTTGGATTGGCTGCAGTGCTGTCGCAGCATTTCTAGTCTCTCCAGAAGTGAAGAACATCTGTATTGTACTCAGTGGTGGGAATGTAGACCTAACCTCCCTGAACTGGGTGAAGCAGGCTGAAACTCCTCACCAGACTATTTCTGTTTAAATTCATGAACTGTGTCTTGATGAAAATTGTTTTCATAATCCTAATGGAGAAGAATATTTTAGTAAGATTTGGCGACCAAGGAAACAGCTGAAATAGAAAGCAGACTGCCTTGTAAGAAAATAAAATATTTTAAATAAAGAAAAAACAACGATGTTCTGTCTTATTTAGTCAGTTATACTATGAATAAATGAAATGTAAGGTTATGGAACAGGGAGGAAATGTGCCAACTTGATCCAGGGCGCAGAGGCTAGGTTCAATGATCTGGCCAGCGCGGACCCCTCTGGCACAGAGATGAGATACAGAGAACGCCCTCTCTCTAGAAACCATATGGTCCTACAGCTGTGGCCTGAAGCTCAAGACTCTAACATAGTAAGAAGTCAGCTCTTGGAGACCTCATGTAACAATGACTTTTTAAACATCGTTCTCTGGGAGACAGCTGCAAGCACATCTTTCTAATCCTTTCTGAGATGGGAGGAAGCAGCATTGTAGTAGAAAAGTCAGAGAAGAGGGCAGAAGGACCTCAGATCTGGAAGAACCACATAATCCTGTGTATGATTTATACCAAAGTGAGGGACAGTGAATAAAAACAAAAACTAAAATGTGTTTGAGATAGGATCAATGTTTGTAGACCAGGCTAGCCTCAAACTCATAATCCTCCTGCCTCAGGCGCTGAGATGTTGGGATTACTAGTATGTGCATCCATCCTGGTCCTCATTTATGTGTTGGAACACAGCATTCCTAGAAATCTTCTAACTTTTTTTAAAATTTATTTATTTATTTATTTAAAATTTCCACCTCCTCCCCGCCTCCCTTTCCCCTCCCCGTCCCCCCTCCCTCTCTAGTCCTAAGAGCAGTCAGGTTTTCATGCCCCGTGGGAAGTCCAAGGTGCTCCCCCCTCCATCCAGGTCTATAAAGGTGAGCATCCAAACAAACCAGGCTCCCACAAAGTCAGTCCATGCAGTAGAATTGAAACCTAGTGCCATTGTCCTTGGCATCTCAGTGAGACATCATTGCCAGCCACATTCAGAGTATCCAGTTTGATCACATGCTCCATCACTCCCAGTCCAGCTGGCCTTGGTAAGCTCCCATTAGATCAGTCCCAGTGTCTCAGTGGGTGGATGCACCCCTCGTGGTCCTGACTTCCTTGCTCTTGTTTTCCCTCCTTCTGCTCCTCAAAAATCTTCTAACTTTTAAGAACATTTTTAGATATTGCTACAGAGAAATATTAGAAATAGGAAGACTCAGATATCAAGTTACTAAGTTCACAAATGCAAGGCAAACACAACTCAAATGTTTTGATGGGCACTTCATTCTAGCTTGGTTCTGCAAGCAGCTATAAACAGGGGTACTTATTTTTCCTAGGAACATTTTGAATCATTCCTCATTCTGGCTGTTTTAGACAGGTGGAGCACCCAGGTAGCCAAGATTCACTTGGATAAGGTTCTTCTGCCTTAGAGCAGAAAAGGCAGAGGCTTAGTGATCCAGAAAGGTTAAGTAAAGGAATCAGAACCAAAGAGGACAGTCGGAAGCATGCATGTCTGGTGAAGAACATGAACACAGCTGTTAGGAAGAACTCGCATGAGTTGTGGTAGGGTTGTGATAAGGAAGGCAGTCGTGGGGCTCCTTGGCATCTCTCCTTTCTTGCTGATGGGGGGGGGGGAACAGGGAAACTCGTTCTCAGATCATAAAAGCAAATATACCAAGAAGGATCGCAAATATTTGAAAGCTTGGGGTTTCCTAATCATGGGGGAGAAGACTCCAATCAGGAAAACTCTACGGCGCGGCTGTGGGCTACTCAGCAGCATTTGCCCTCAGGAACAGGAGCTGAACCACATTGGTGCAGAGCAGCGCAACAGCAGAAGCGGGGGTCCGAGCAGCGGGCCATCCCTGGCAACCACCACAGTTACCACACTTAGGGGTCCGAGCAGCTGGAAATCCCTGGCAACCACCACAGTTAGGGGTCCGAGCAGCGGGCCATCCC